ACCCCCACCAACACCCTGTCTCCTGCCACAGCACCCTGTTCCCTGCTCTAGTACCCTCTGGCACCCTGTCCCCACTCCAGCACCCACTAGCCCCCTTCCCCAGTACCATGAGCCCTGCTCCCACCAGAACAGTTGGGGCCACATTAGTGAGGCTTGGGGGGTTTTAGAGGAGGTGGTGGTTTTTGTTTGTTTGTTTTTTGCATTTCACGTGTGTTGCCCCAGCTGACTTTTCTGAGGGTCAGTGACTCCTGACTCAAAACAGGTTCCTTGCCCTTCTCATAAATAAAGACAATGCGGAAACTTTTTGGGTTGGATATAGTATTTTATTTAAAAATGAAGCCTGGCCAACAAACCCCCAATTGGAACCAATCCCCTATCTGGCTGCAGCATCATGACACTCCTGTACCATCCCCCGACCCCAAAACTGAGTCTATCATACATTGGAACTCCCTGTCCTGAGCCTCTCGACCCCCAACTCCTGCACTTCCACATCCTCATTCTTCTGTCCAACACTTCTGCACCACCTATACACTGCAAATCTGTGTCCTGAGCCCATCATACTCCCAATCTCCCTGCCCTGAGCTGCTCACACAGCCCAACCCAAACTCCTGCACCCTCACATCCACAAGCCTGTGGATTGCTCAACACCCCAACACTCCCCAGCTTGGAGCCCCCTCCCCAAGCCAGCATCCCCTTCTCCACATTTTCCTGCATCCAAATTCCCTCCCAGAGCTTGCACCTCTCACCCCTTCCCACACCCAAATCCTTCATTCCCACCTCAGAGCCCACACATCCTGTCTCAGCCCAGTGAGAGTATGGCTAGACTACAAGAGTTTTTCCTGGGATACCAGAGGTATCCTGGAAAAAACTCTTCTGTGTCCAGGGATGGGATTGTTCTTCCGCTTTTTTTTTAGCGGAAGAGCAAACATGCTCTTTCGGCAACCCCTGTATTCCTCATTGCACGAGGAATAAGGGGGCTTCCGAAAGAAGGGTTTTTTCTGACATTTGGCCCAGTCTAGACAGGCCAAATTTTGGAAAAACCTCTTCCTATAGAAGAATTGAAAAAAAGGCGGCAGCATAGCCATGCCCTGAGAGTTGATAAGGGCTGGGGATAGCAAGTGATGGAGAGGAGGAGAACAGAGAGGGCGGGGCTTCAGGGAAGGAGTGGAGTCTTGGAGGCAGGATGGGGTAGACCTTGGCTTGTTCTGACATCTCTTCTGTGTCCAGGGATGGGATTGTTCTTCCGCTTTTTTTTTAGCGGAAGAGCAAACATGCTCTTTCGGCAACCCCTGTATTCCTCATTGCACGAGGAATAAGGGGGCTTCCGAAAGAAGGGTTTTTTCTGACATTTGGCCCAGTCTAGACAGGCCAAATTTTGGAAAAACCTCTTCCTATAGAAGAATTGAAAAAAAGGCGGCAGCATAGCCATGCCCTGAGAGTTGATAAGGGCTGGGGATAGCAAGTGATGGAGAGGAGGAGAACAGAGAGGGCGGGGCTTCAGGGAAGGAGTGGAGTCTTGGAGGCAGGATGGGGTAGACCTTGGCTTGTTCTGACATTTAAAAAGTTATCTTGGGCAAAAAAAGGTTGAAGACCACTGGTGTATGCAGTCGCTGCTGAGCTGAAGTCGGGGGTCACTGCTGCCAACAGCAAGTGCTGTTCGCTGAAAAAGTGTTCAGGCTCCTGAGCGCTCAGCTTGAAGAGACAGTGCTACACGCTCACACTCAAACAAAAATCTGAAATAGAACCCAAGATGAGCCAGGAGCTGCCTAAGGGCTCCAGCGGGAGGCGGCCCCCACATGATAGAATAGAATCCATCTTGAGCTGCAGACCAAGTGCTAGGCACCATGAGCTGCAGCAGAGGTAAAGTAGCAATACACCATATATCATGTAACCCTTACTTCTGATTGGCTGAACAAGAGTAGGATTGAGCACTAAAGTTTGACATGGTTTTATTTTTGAGAGCAGGGCAGGTATGTAAAAATAATTCTACATTTAAGTTGCACTTTCATGATAGAGATGCATACAAGTACAAATTGGATCTCTCCGGTCCAGCACCCTTGGGACCTGACTGGTCCCAAATGAGGGAATTTGCTAGACCAGAGGATGTCCCCTGCTACTGGCTCCCCAGACTACCTTCCCTCCCTGCTGCTGGCCCCAGTCACCCTCCCTGCCGGGCTGCTATGGCCCCGGCTTCAGCCCCACTACTGCGGCTTCCAGGACTGCCACATCCCCGGCCCTGATACTGGGGCTGCTGCAGCCCCTGCTCTGCTACTGGGGCTCTGGTGCCAGTCCCAGCTTTAGCCCCACCGGTCTCCGAGTCGTCCGTCCTCTTGCCACTGATTCCCTGGTCCAGGAACACCTGCCGAACCACAGATGACATTGGATGAGGGAGTCCCAGTTTTGGAAGGTCCAACCTGTACTATAAAAAATACAGTTCTTTTGGTTTTTTACAGTGGAAACGTTATAAAATAGTGAACACTGTATGTGTCTGTGTTTTTATTGAAAACAATATAGTTGAAAATGTATAACTATCCAGAATTTTTAAATAAATGGCATTCTGTTATAAAACAGTGTGATTAAACTTCGATTTATCACAAGTATTTTTTTAATGTCCCAATTAGTTGCATGTAACTTTTTAATAGTTTTGCTGCTCTACTGCAAACAAAATTAGAGTGGAAAATTTAAAAACAACTAATAGTCTTAACTGCACCTTAAAGACTAACAAAACGTGTAAATGGTATCGTGAGCTTTTGTGGGAAAAATTCACTTCTTTACATATCGTCATGTTTTTTAAGTGTTTCCAGTTACAGACTAATTCAGCTACCTCTCTGAAAATTAGAATGGTCATACTGAATATAAAGCTTACAAGAAAGAGAAATGTAAAAAGTGAGTCCTCAAATGTGGACCATTGATAATGTATACACTTAGCCATGAGTCTTTTTTTAAACTCGTGATAGCATTATTGTTTTAATGGTTGTACTCAAAGATACGTGAAGAAGATCTTGCTCTGAAGTGCAATTATATTCTGCCTATAAACCCCTCTCTCGTTTCTTATTCCTCACCATGGTACCAGAGAGCTTCAGGTCGCTGTCTCAGTATAACTGTTTCCTGTATGCGTTCCATCATACAATATCTACTGAATTCACTGATTAAAATATACTCATCTTTACTCTGTAGCACTAGTAAGGCTACAAAAGAGTGAACTGGATTCTAATCTATCGTGAATATGAACACAATTGTTCCACTGTGTATTTATAAGGATTAAATTAAACTGTTAAAATCATTGGGATCCTAAATTAACAGTCAAAAATTGTTCCAGTGCTGCACAGAGGACTCAATTGTACTCAGTTCATATAAATACCCAATGGCAAAATAGAGATGGGGAAAAATAGCTTCCCCAGCCATGGATAACTCCCATCACTTTCTTTAACTGTCTGCCTCCCCAAATGTCAGAAAGAAAAGATGCTGTTTGCAGCATCTCCAGGTTGAGTTGAGCTAGGTTCTGGCAGATGGAGGAGAGAGAATTTTGGAGCTGAAGGAACAGAGAATAAATAACTTGTCAGCTTTACAGTAGTGTTTAGAGGAAGGATGCTCTAAATCTAAGGATGCTGTCTGTGTATTGTAGTTGTGGAGGTATTGTATGGGATGAAAGGAAGTGTGATTTTTAAAAATCACAACCATAATGTGCACTTGAATTTCTCAGCTTGTTTCGTAGAGATTTAGCCAGGCCTTTTCACAAAATAATCAGAACATGGGCTTTCTCAGCTATCCTTGCACCCTTTACTAATCCGTCTTGCTGCCCTGGTGGCCTAGAGGGCCATGACTGACCTGCTTTCAATGTCTCTTTATTTGTATGCTTGGTGGGTGCAGATCAAATTCCTGTTCAGTCTTTCTCCTTTTCAGATTTTAGTTACCAATTTGGATTTCCACGATGAGCAGAAGCGTCGGAATTTAAATGGAACATTGCATGAGCTGCTGCGGATGAATATTGTCCCTATTATTAACACCAATGATGCGGTTGTTCCACCTCCAGAACCAAACAGTGATCTTCAGGGGGTAAATGTGGGTAAAGTATTGCAGTGGGTGGATCCTGCTATTGGACTTGCTAAAGCATGAATGCATGACTAACACTGTAATAGTCTGGATATCCTGGAGTGAGCAGAAGGGGAATGGGATATGTAAGAACAGAACAGCCACAGTAATGCTGGAAGCTAAAAGAGAAATGCAGTTAAGAGATATGATATGGACAGAGATATTGGGGAATGGGTACTGACATGGCTCGCTTTTGACAAGAGGTTGTGATTTGGATGGGGAGCAAATATTTGCATGGCTTGCTTTTTGCAGGGCACAGATTGATTTGGATAGGATATTGCTACTTATTTACCGAATGCTAACATTAGGCTCAGTTCAACACACAGCACACAGTATAGTATGGACAAAGCAGTGCAGAGCGAAATGGTATACTTACATTTATTGTTTGCTGTATGGTGCAGTCAGTGTTTGCTGCCTTCTCTTCTCTGCTGTGTTGCTGACTCTCTATATTTCAGGTTATTAGCGTTAAGGATAATGATAGTCTGGCAGCACGTCTGGCTGTAGAAATGAAAACTGATCTCCTGATTATTCTTTCAGATGTAGAAGGTATGTGACTGACTTCTTTGCCTGTGGTTACATTAACAATTTCTATCCCCCTAAAGCCAGTGAGGAAAATGTCCAAGACGAGGCCCGCCAATGGGAGGAGGCACAAAAGGGACGGCTGCCTCATGTTTACTGGTTGCTGCTGCAGTGGCCAGAGACTCATGCTCTTTCAGCCATGGTTGGAGCCCCGGGCAGCACTAAAGCACTGGCTAGGGCAGTGTTTCTCAACCATTTTATATAAAGTACCTCTTAAAAAATTATAAGTACCCCTTCTACCTACCGTTTTCAGACACACAATGTTTTTTTCTACCATTGCAACACATTTGTTTAAACAACTTAATTGTAGCTGGGCGGGCAATGAAACTTTGGGGTGTAAAAAATACAAAAATAATAAAGCGCTGTAAAACTTAAAACAAAAATTCAGTTTTCTCCAAATTTCAGTTGTGTTGACGTACTCGGCAGACTTCTCTTAAGTGCCCCAAGGGTACTCGTACCACTGCTTGAGAAACACTGGGCTAGGGAGGGCTAGCCCCAGCATCATCTCTTCTGCCTGAGGCCTCCCCCCTTCTGTGGGTCCAGAGCCAGGTGCCACCCAACCTTGCGCAGGACCCTGCAAAATGTACCAGCAGTCCTGCCTAAGACCTACTCATTTACCTTACTTGCATATCATATTTTTCCATCTTATTTTGGCTGCATATGGTCTCATTTAGAGTGTAAACTCTTCAGAGTTAAGACAAAAACTTACAGGAGCTGCAAAATAAAACGTAGGCACTGGATACAATTTTTTAATTTTTGTTTTTCCATCTTCATGTGTCACAGACAGTGGTGCCAACCTACATTCTAATTTTGTAACTCTGAAATAGCAATCAAATGTAGCAAGACATTTTTAGTAAGTCCCCACTACTTCCTGTCATTTATCATTCTATCATCTTGTAGAGCAGGGGTAGGGAACCTTTTTTGGGTCGGGGGCTGCTGACCCCCCAGAAAAATGAATCAGGGGCCACACACAAGTGAAAAGCAAAAAAAAAAAAAAAAAAACAAAACACCACACCCTCATTGATGTGTCGCCTGACTGAGAAGCAGAAAGACACTCCTTCCTGCATTCGCCTTGCACACCAGAGCATGGGGGCCACAGGCAAGTAGATTTTGTGTGTTCTAGTCCCAGGTTGGGATGTCGGGGGTGGAGACTGGAGCTACAGCACAAGCTCCCTAATGGTGTGGGAGAGCCCTAAGCCTTGAGGACTGGATCCAGGCAAGCCAGGGTCTGCATTTGGCCCCTGGGCCTGAGGTTCGCCCCCACTCCTGCTATAGAGGTTTAGCGATTTCTCTTAAATGGGTTAGTACTTAGTTGTACGTGACTGTACTTTCCAAGTTTAGATGAGTGGCACTTTTGGCTCCATGTTCTGTCCATGAATGCAGAAGCAGCTGAAGATCGAATGGGAGCTCTGATGCAACAGGGCCCACTGTATGCTTACATAGCTCATATTTATCATCTTTGGACTATTGTGCCTCATATGGTGGATTCTTCAAGTGATTGCTTTTATTGTCTCCAGTTGCATTGGGGGGGATGCCTCATGCATAGTCAGAAAGTTTTTTTCCCTAGCAGCATCCATTGGGTTGGCTGTGAAATCCCCTCGAGTGTGTCTCCATGGCACTCCATATATGACCCTGCAGACACAGCACCCCCTCAGTTCATTCCTATTGCCAGTGACAGTTGTTGGAACTGTGGTGTCTTGCTTAGCAAGCTCTCCAGGTTGCTTAACTGCTGTATACATTAGTGTTTGTCTTCCCTAGTTAGTTACGTTTATTATTAGTGTATTTTAATGTTGATAGTGAGTGGTTTCCCCATTCCCTCTGACTACATTCTCTGTGGGGGTCTCAGAGCATGCCTAAGTTCCAGGTGTTCAAAACCTGCAAGAAGCCTGTGCCAATGGGCACTTGTCTAAAGTGTCTGGGGAAGTGCATCAGATGGACAGGTTCAGGATTTGAAAAGGGTTTTGGCCTAGAATGAAAAAGGAGTGGGATTTCAGACTTCTGCTGCCTTCATAAGGAGCTGCTTGACCCAGCATTGAGTTCTGTGCTCGTGAGACTAGAAGTAAACAGAAGAGGTAGGGTTGTTAACATTTCTGTCAATCAACTAAAATTAAAAATAACATCCTTTATGTCATCTGCTGCACGTCGCTGTACTCAACCCTAGCTTCTGTCTCATTCACTGCATGTTGTTTAGCCTCTAGCGTGAGGGATGCATTTTTCTGTTGCTGTATACCTTTATATCTGTGTCCTGTAGCCCCTTGGAGACGAACAAAAAATATAGATGGTGGTATGAGCTTTCGTGAGCTCAACCCCCTTCTTCAGATGAATGGAGTTAAGGAGTCCAGGGTACCAATAAATAGCAGAGAAAGAGAAGAGATGGGGAGGGAAAGAAGGGGAAAAAATTGAGAAAAAATATTGTCTGTTAGTGTCCATGCTAAATGAAGCTAATAGGGTGGGCTCTAAGTACTCGATGTACCTGGTGCTTGGCTTTTTATTTCATTAGGTTCAGAGGGGTATCATCAGTCAGGGTTTCTGGGTTGTCTCGGTGGGTTCCTGAGAGGTCCTCTACTCCGTCAGTGATGATAAATTTTCGCCTGCATGTGTGTGTGTGCTCTCTTTATCTAAAGCATTAAACCCCATGCACTTGGGCCATCACAGTAGATCTCTGAGAGCCCCAGGATACAACAGGATGAAACCAAAGCAGGTTTATTGCCAAATGCTATGCATTAACAGTTGTCAGCAGAAAGTCTCAATGCTAAGCCACTGTGCATTCTGTAAGTCTCGGCAATGACACCTGCCGTTACAGGTGCCTAATGCAACCCTCCATAGTCCATCAGGGCTCGCTGTTTCCAGTGCCCTTTTATAGACATGTACAAACAACTTACATTGCTTCTTTATGTACCAGGTTGCCACCCTCTGTTACCTAGTTACCACCCCTCACCTTACAGGAGGGCTTACTTACTGTCCTTCATGCTGTCAACTTCGACCTGGTCCTGAACCTAGGTTGGTACGTACATTAGTTTTTGGGGAGTCTTTGGTACCAAGACGTTTCTTATTAAGATGTTTCACTACTCCCCTCTGGCTTACAATCTGTACCTGGTGCCTCCCTATTCCGTCCATGCTCCACCTAACTTACACAGTTATCAATAGGGCCTCTTTCCTGGCTGCCGTGTTACTGAACCAAAGTCTTGCTCACTAGATTCCAGGCCTGTGGTTACCGACCCTCAACTTACTACAAGAGGTAGCCGAGTAAGTCTGTAACTGGAAAAACTTAAAAAACAATTAATTGTCTGGCAGAACTTTAAAGACTAACAAAACATGTAGATGGTATCATGAGCTTTCGCAGCCACAACCCACAAATGTCATCTGAAGTGGGTGGTACCCATGAAAGCTCATGATACCATCTACATGTTGTTAGTCTCTAAGGTGCCACTAGACTATTCGTTGTGTTTCAAGTTTTTCCAGTTACAGACTAACTTGGCTACCCCTCTGAATTTTACTGCTTGAGTTGTTAAAGAGGAACTAGTACCCCTCTTTGTAGCGATTTGTGGCTGAGGGGTGTGGCTCCCAGAGTTGGTTTGCATGTCTCTGCATTCTCAGTTCTGTCTTCCCTGACTCTGACTCTCTTCATCCAGGAGTTGGGATCAGTCGCCCATCGAAGTCTGTTGCCACTTCACATTCCAGGCGTGGCTACTTGATGAGTCTGTATCCTAGAGCAGATCTGCTTCTATCCTGCTAAAGATCCAGCCCCACAATGGGACCTCAACTTAGTTCTTAATGTTCTAAGGCGGGGCAAGGGACCTAAGGCCTGGGGGCCGGGTGTGGCTCCTGGCTTGCCTGGATCTGAGCCTCAGGGGGCCGGAACTCTTCCTCCCCTTTTCCCCCAGCATTGGGTAGCCCACACTCGTGCTCCAGTCCCCTCATCATTTCCCTGTGGGGTTGGAGCACACACAATCTACTAGCCTGTGCCCTCCTAGGTTAAGTTATTTCATTAGGGTGTGGAATGTAGCAGCTTATCCAGGTCAGGTCTTTGTTTAAACCTCTATTCCTCAAGTGTCCTCAAGCTGACACCCTGAATAGAGGAAAAACTGTTAGTCTCTAAATGTGTTGCAACACTATTCATTGTTTTTTAACTTTTTCTACTTGCATACCAACTTGGCTCTGAAACCTTGAATAGAGGTTTAAACAAAGACCTGACCTGGATGAGCTGCTGCATTCCACACCCTAATGACATAAAAAGCCAAGCACCAGATACTTAGAGCCACTCTATTAGTCTCATTTAGCATGGACACTCAGACAATATTTTTCCCTTTCTCTTTCCTTTCCCATCACCTCTTTCTCTGCTATTTATTGGTACCCTGGACCCCTTAACTCCATTCATCTGAAGAATTGGTTTATGCTCACGATACCATCTACATTTTTTTGTTAGTTTCTAAGGTGCTGCAGGACTATTCACTGATTTTTAATTTTGTTTCAGTTAGACTAACATGGCTACCCCTCAAACTTTATATCATTCCATTGACTTCAGTGAATTTGCTATATTTAAACAGTTTGTTGTTACAGACTAGCAGAAGGCTGCTATAGACTGTTCATTATCCACTGTCCACTGAGCAGTGAATGAGGTGATTGTGTAGTTAGAGCTTGGAAATCATGCAAACTTAACTGACAGCCTTAACACACACAAGTTTGCTTTGTAATGTTCAGGTTCTTCGCATACTGTTATTTCTTCGTCGAGTAGTGTCCCTGTGGGTGCTCCACTCGAGGTGCTGGGCTCGTCCCGGCGCCGCAAACCGGAGGATTTTCAGTAGCAGTAGCACCCCCACTGGACCACGCATGCGTGACTGCTGCTTCACGCCTCTCAGCTGAGCACGGCCTGGCTAGTCACTTTCCTTCCAGCCGTCCGCTGCCGCAGATGGAGTTAGCTTATGCTCCCCACTCCTGTCTGAGGAGTGAGGGAGATTAGCTAGTTTAGCTAGTTCTTGTGTTTCTTTCAAAAGTTATTAGTGTTAGTGTAGTTGTTATAGTTCCCGATAAGTTTTAAAAAAAAATGTTTTTCCTGTGCTTGTTCTGTCACGCCTCTGGTTGCAATAACAATGCCAGGATCACCTGGTTTTAAAAAGTGCACCCAGTGCCAGGATGCCATGCCGGCATCAGATGGGCGCACTCAGTGCCGAAAGTGCCTCGGGGACGGACATGTCCCAGTGAAGTGCAGCTACTGCGCTAAATTAATGGCGCGCGCCAGGTGGGACCGAGAACTCCGACTGAGAGTTCTTCTGTTCAATAAAGCTCTCCAGGCTCTGGAGATGTGGGAGTCGCTCCCCTCGGGGCAGCTTGAGGATTGACTGGGTCGAGAACCCCCCACTGCACGGCAGGCAGGGTGAGCAGCAGGGACAGACCGGGAGCCTCTGGCTGTTCACCGAGGTATCCCGCGGACAAGACAGGCAAAGGCCGAAGCTCCTCGGTCTCCACCCGATTCCATGGCAAGGACCCTATCTCGGCACAAGCTGAAGGCTCACGGGCAGAGTCGGTGCCGGCAACGGCTCCAACGGCTTTCGCGGAGCTGGCAAGATGGATGAGCGCAGCCGTAACAGCAGCGGTGCCGGTGTTTTCCCCAGCTGTTGCGACTTCATTCTCCCAGGTGCCGAAGTCAGCGGCACCGGGATTGGCGCCGCAGGACGGAGCTTTCAGTTCAGAGCCCTTGGCACCGGCATTATCAGCACTTGTCCTGCAGCCAACGGCACTGGGTCAGCCAATAAGCAGCCAGGCTGTGGAGGTTACTTCATTGTCAGCCCGCTATGCTCCGCACCGTTGCCTACCCTCAACTCCTCGGTGCTGACCAAAGCACAGCACAAGTCTGCACGAGTCCGGACACCATCTTTGACACTGGACCATGTCATGTTTTCACCAGGACTGATGTCACCTGCCTTGTTTTATTCTGGTGGTCGTCACCACACTCCTCATCATTATGCATCGGCCAGAGACCATTACTACCAATCATTTCGCCACTCACCGCCAAGACGGTATCACCGAGAGCGTAACTCTTGATCTCCCTCTCACCATTCCAGGAGATCCTTTTCACCAAGGTCCCCAAGACCCTTGGGATATTCTCGTCAGTATGACATCCTGAGGAGGCACTCTTCCAGATGTTCCCCGAGTCCATACTGCAGACATCATTATGAACGATGTTGTTATGACCACCCTTCTCCTCTCGATAGAGGACGTCCGCGATCGCCGCGGTCCAGTCAGACCCTATCTCCACATGTACCAGTGCAATCTCCACCTTCTGCTGCTCCACTAGCTCCTGCGGAGGACACAGCCTCCATCTATCAGGAGGATGAACGCACTCCTCACCAAGAACATCAGAGCCCTGATTCGTTGACTCATCACTCTTCTTCCTCACCAGATGACGCGGTGGTCCCTGGTGACTTGTCTCCCACGGAAGACCACAAGCAGTTCCAGGAGCTCTTCAAGAGGGTTGCCCAATCCCAAGAGATTCAGACGACGGATGTGCAGCAAAAACAACATCGGTTGTTAAAGAACCTGCAACCTTCCCAGAAATCGAAGCTGGCATTCCCATTTGATGAAGCTATCTTGGAGATTGCCGATGACATCTGGCAGCCTCCAGCCACTTCGTTGACAACTAATAAGAGGTCAGACAAGAAGTACTTCATAAGCCAGAAGGGTATGGACTTTTTATTTACACACCCTCAGCCCAACTCCCTTATTATAGACGCTGCGCAGCAGAGAACGAAGATGTCTCAGGCCAAAAACACCGTGAGTGACAAGGAAGCCAAGCACCTCGATGTCCTAGGCAGGAAGGTATATTTGACTCTAAGGATGTGCAATTATGTGGCGCAATTAGCAAACCATGATTTCGATAATTATTCGAAACTGGTCCCTCTATTTGAGCACTTGTCGGACTCTAAACATCAAATTTTGAAGGCAGTTACACAAGAGGGACTGTGTGCCACCCCCTTGACAAAGGCTCTGAACAATGTGCAAGCCTTGTTCCATCATCACCAGAGACCTCATCAACATCGCTGGTCTTGTATATCCACCAACTGGTTGGTCCTCAACATAGTCACTTCAGGATACGCCATTCCCTTCAACTCTCTTCCTTCCCTCCTTTCCCATCCCTTTTCAGGGACCCCCCTCACAAGACCCTTCTACAACAAGAGGTTTCCCATCTGCTCACCATAGGAGTGGTAGAGAGGGTACCAACCCAGTTTTGGAGGAGAGGGTTTTATTCTCATTAATTCCTCACCCAGAAGGAGTCAGGGGGTTGGAGGCCTATCCTGGACCTACGTCGGCTCAACCATTACCTGCAAAAGCAGAAATTTAAAATGGTCACGTTGTCTTCCATCATTCTGGCTCTCGACAAAGGGGATTGGTTCGTGTCCCTTGACCTACAGGATGCCTACTTCCATATAACGATACATCCTGCTCACAGGAGATTCCTTCGGTTCGTAGTGGGAGCCGACCATTATCAATACCAGATACTACCTTTCGGACTTTGGTGGCTCCCCGAGTTTTTTCCAAGACCCTCGCGGTGGTGGCGGCCTACCTTCGGCGCCTCGACATTACCATCTTCCCCTACCTGGACGATTGTCTACTAAAGGCCCCTACCCTTGATGAAGCTATGTGGGCAGTTACCACTACTACCATGATATTCAAAGCCCTTGGTCTCGTAATCAGTTTCGAGAAGTCTTTTCTCACACTGACTCATGACCTAGAGTTCATCAGGGTGAGGCTCGATTCCGCAACCCCAAGAGCATACTTACCCATAAAAAGGTTCCATCTAATCTGGGATTTGGTACAGACTGTATCAATTTCTCCCAAATCCCGCATACTTACCTGTCTGCAGCTCCTGGAATATATGGCGGTTTCCACATATGTGGTTCTGCATTCGAGGCTTCATCTGCGCAGTCTTCAGCATTGGCTATTCACTGTGTACACAGCACAAACAGGACAGTTTCTATTCCCAAGCATGTCCGGGCAACCCCAAAAACACGTTAATTGGGAGTCCAAGCCCAGAGGCCATCATTGCAGATCACGACAGACGCCTCCCTGCTCGGCTGGGGCACCCATCTACAGGACAGCTGAGCTCAAGGTCTGGACACCCCAAGAATCGCTGCAACACATAAACTTTCTTGAACTTCAAATGGTTTTCAGTGCTTGCAGGAATTTCCTCCACATCATTTGAGGTCAGTCAATACAGATTCTCACCGACAACATTTGCACGGTGTATTATGTCAACTGACAAGGAGGTGCGCGTTCCCGCCCACTTTGTGCAGAGGCAGTTCGTCTCTGGAATTGGGCGATCCAGCATGGTATCACCCTGACTGCAGCTTACCTTCCTGGCAAGGATAATGTGATTACTGACGCCCTTAGCAGGCAGTTCTTCTCCCAACACGAATGGGAGTTGCACACCAAAGTCGTCTGCAACCTCTTCCAATGCTGGGGTAGGCCACTCGCCGCAACAGGAAGTGCCATCAATACTGTTCATGAGAGGGCGTCGGCACAGGCTCCTTGGGGGATGCCTTCCTACTGGACTGGAGTCGTCACAAATTGCTGTATGCCTTTCCCCCTCTCCCGCTCATCCCAAGGGTGCTGGAGAAGATAGAGCGTGCAACAATAATTTTTATAGCACCCTTTTGGCCTCAGCAGACGTGGCTAACACAGTTGTTGAGGATGTCGGTTGCCAAACCACGATGACTACCGGAACTGTTCAATTTACTATCTCAGCAGAGTATGACATCCTGAGGAGGCACTCTTCCAGATGTTCCCCGAGTCCATACTGCAGACATCATTATGAACGATGTTGTTATGACCACCCTTCTCCTCTCGATAGAGGACGTCCGCGATCGCCGCGGTCCAGTCAGACCCTATCTCCACATGTACCAGTGCAATCTCCACCTTCTGCTGCTCCACTAGCTCCTGCGGAGGACACAGCCTCCATCTATCAGGAGGATGAACGCACTCCTCACCAAGAACATCAGAGCCCTGATTCGTTGACTCATCACTCTTCTTCCTCACCAGATGACGCGGTGGTCCCTGGTGACTTGTCTCCCACGGAAGACCACAAGCAGTTCCAGGAGCTCTTCAAGAGGGTTGCCCAATCCCAAGAGATTCAGACGACGGATGTGCAGCAAAAACAACATCGGTTGTTAAAGAACCTGCAACCTTCCCAGAAATCGAAGCTGGCATTCCCATTTGATGAAGCTATCTTGGAGATTGCCGATGACATCTGGCAGCCTCCAGCCACTTCGTTGACAACTAATAAGAGGTCAGACAAGAAGTACTTCATAAGCCAGAAGGGTATGGACTTTTTATTTACACACCCTCAGCCCAACTCCCTTATTATAGACGCTGCGCAGCAGAGAACGAAGATGTCTCAGGCCAAAAACACCGTGAGTGACAAGGAAGCCAAGCACCTCGATGTCCTAGGCAGGAAGGTATATTTGACTCTAAGGATGTGCAATTATGTGGCGCAATTAGCAAACCATGATTTCGATAATTATTCGAAACTGGTCCCTCTATTTGAGCACTTGTCGGACTCTAAACATCAAATTTTGAAGGCAGTTACACAAGAGGGACTGTGTGCCACCCCCTTGACAAAGGCTCTGAACAATGTGCAAGCCTTGTTCCATCATCACCAGAGACCTCATCAACATCGCTGGTCTTGTATATCCACCAACTGGTTGGTCCTCGACATAGTCACTTCAGGATACGCCATTCCCTTCAACTCTCTTCCTTCCCTCCTTTCCCATCCCTTTTCAGGGACCCCCCTCACAAGACCCTTCTACAACAAGAGGTTTCCCATCTGCTCACCATAGGAGTGGTAGAGAGGGTACCAACCCAGTTTTGGAGGAGAGGGTTTTATTCTCATTAATTCCTCACCCAGAAGGAGTCAGGGGGTTGGAGGCCTATCCTGGACCTACGTCGGCTCAACCATTACCTGCAAAAGCAGAAATTTAAAATGGTCACGTTGTCTTCCATCATTCTGGCTCTCGACAAAGGGGATTGGTTCGTGTCCCTTGACCTACAGGATGCCTACTTCCATATAACGATACATCCTGCTCACAGGAGATTCCTTCGGTTCGTAGTGGGAGCCGACCATTATCAATACCAGATACTACCTTTCGGACTTTGGTGGCTCCCCGAGTTTTTTCCAAGACCCTCGCGGTGGTGGCGGCCTACCTTCGGCGCCTCGACATTACCATCTTCCCCTACCTGGACGATTGTCTACTAAAGGCCCCTACCCTTGATGAAGCTATGTGGGCAGTTACCACTACTACCATGATATTCAAAGCCCTTGGTCTCGTAATCAGTTTCGAGAAGTCTTTTCTCACACTGACTCATGACCTAGAGTTCATCAGGGTGAGGCTCGATTCCGCAACCCCAAGAGCATACTTACCCATAAAAAGGTTCCATCTAATCTGGGATTTGGTACAGACTGTATCAATTTCTCCCAAATCCCGCATACTTACCTGTCTGCAGCTCCTGGAATATATGGCGGTTTCCACATATGTGGTTCTGCATTCGAGGCTTCATCTGCGCAGTCTTCAGCATTGGCTATTCACTGTGTACACAGCACAAACAGGACAGTTTCTATTCCCAAGCATGTCCGGGCAACCCCAAAAACACGTTAATTGGGAGTCCAAGCCCAGAGGCCATCATTGCAGATCATGACAGATGCCTCCCTGCTCGGCTGGGGCACCCATCTACAGGACAGCTGAGCTCAAGGTCTGGACACCCCAAGAATCGCTGCAACACATAAACTTTCTTGAACTTCAAATGGTTTTCAGTGCTTGCAGGAATTTCCTCCACATCATTTGAGGTCAGTCAATACAGATTCTCACCGACAACATTTGCACGGTGTATTATGTCAACTGACAAGGAGGTGCGCGTTCCCGCCCACTTTGTGCAGAGGCAGTTCGTCTCTGGAATTGGGCGATCCAGCATGGTATCACCCTGACTGCAGCTTACCTTCCTGGCAAGGATAATGTGATTACTGACGCCCTTAGCAGGCAGTTCTTCTCCCAACACGAATGGGAGTTGCACACCAAAGTCGTCTGCAACCTCTTCCAATGCTGGGGTAGGCCACTCGCCGCAACAGGAAGTGCCATCAATACTGTTCATGAGAGGGCGTCGGCACAGGCTCCTTGGGGGATGCCTTCCTACTGGACTGGAGTCGTCACAAATTGCTGTATGCCTTTCCCCCTCTCCCGCTCATCCCAAGGGTGCTGGAGAAGATAGAGCGTGCAACAATAATTTTTATAGCACCCTTTTGGCCTCAGCAGACGTGGCTAACACAGTTGTTGAGGATGTCGGTTGCCAAACCACGATGACTACCGGAACTGTTCAATTTACTATCTCAGCAGCACGGTACAATGATCCATCTGTGCATCAAGCACATTCACCTGACAGTGTGGATCCTAGCTGGCTCCAAGCGTCGCAGTTTTGTTCTCAGGAGGTGAGACACGTACTGATTAACAGAAGGCGGCATACCACACGCAAGACTTACCTTCAGAAGTGGCATCGCTTTCAGTCATGGTACGCAGCAAGAAATCTCGACTCTCTCTCGGTGCCTGTCCAGCAGGTGCTGGATTATATTATGCACCTAAAGACGGTGGGATTGGCAATTTCTTTCCTCAGAGTACATTTAGCGGCAATTTCCGCTTTCCGTCCACCTATTAACAACCATTCAATATGTGCACACCCCCTCAACAAAAGGTTTTTGAAGGGGCTCGACAGCCTATATCCAGCTCACAGGATCCCACCGGAGCCTTGGGACTTGCTTTTAGTATTGGACACTATCATTCACCCTCTCTTCGAACCACTAGCAACGTGTGATTTACAGATGCTTACGATGAAGGTGGTGTTCCTGCTTGCCATTACGTCTGCGCGTCAAGTAAGCGAATTAGCGGCTCTGTCGGCGGACCCGCCGTACACACAGTTCTCCAACGGTGCTGTGGTACTTCGTGTACACCCGGCCTTTCTACCAAAGATCAACTCTGCTTTTCATATAAACAAACCCATGTGTTTGACGACGTTCTACCCAAAGCCTCATTCCTTGCTGGAAGAGTCCCGTTTGCACACCCTAGATGTCAGACGAGTGCTGGCATTTTATCTTGAAAGAACATATGTCTTTCGAAAGTCTCAACGACTGTTCCTGTCTACAGCCGAATGCTCCAAAGGCAAACAGCTCTCTGCACAGCACATCTCCACTTGATCGTCGCTTGCATCAGATGTTGTTACACTCTATGTAACAAACCACTTCCAGGCCGACCTTGGGCCCACTCTACCAGGGGCATGGCGGCTTCCACTGCCTATTTTCGCTGGGTACCATTGCAGGACATATGCCGTGCAGTGACCTGGTCCTCTACTCTTACTTTTGCTAGACATTACACTCTTGCGAATACACTAAAGACCGACTCAGCGGTAGCCCGGGCGGTCTTGTCTGCAGCGCAGAAACGATGAGTCTGAAGCACACGTCTACCATTGGGCCACTGCTGTGGACTCACCTTGAGTGGAGCACCCTCGGGGACACTACTCGATGAAGAAGAGCGAGTTACTCACCATGTGCAGTAATGTCTGTTCTTCGAGATGTGTGTCCCCGTGGGTGCTCCACATCCCACCCTCCTCCCTGCTTTGGAGTTTTCTGTTTGTATTTTTCAGATGCTTCCGGTTGGGAGGAAGCTGACTAGCCAGACCGCGCTCAGCTGAGAGGCGCGAAGCAGCAGTCGCACATGCGTGGTCCAGTGCGGGGGGGCTACTGCTACTGAAAATCCTCCGGTTTACAGCACCAGGACGAGCCCAGCACCTCGAGTGGAGCACCTATGGGGGGGACACATCTCGAAGAACAGACGTTACTGCACAAGGTGAGTAACTCGCTCTTCTTCTACAAGCAGTGTCCTTATGGGTGCTCCACTATAGGTGTATATGCTCTCCTGCGCCTGTTGAGCCCTCACTTGTGCTCTCCGTTGCTCATGATGTACATGATGTACCTTGAGGATGCTATCTAGTGCTGTGCTAGTGAGAGCCTCTCACCACCTACTCAGTTGCCTTTGGCCTCACATGGCGAGAGCAGTGGTCTCCTCCATATGTGTATCATTACCATAATTAGTAGCTGTTTTGTTTCTTGTGTTCTCCCTAATAGTGTTACCTTTTTTTAAACTCCCTTAAAAAAGGAGAAGAAATGCCTTTTAAAAAAAAATCTTGTTTGCGGGAAACTCCCCCCACCTCAATTTCCCCCCTTCTGGTAAAAGTAAAGAAAGGAAAAGAAGGGGAGTAAAGATGATCTACTTATTTCTGCATTCCTCATTGCTAGAGATTGATCTGCTTCCAACCCCCACTCGGGCATTCTTGGGTCTACCAGCTTGGAGGGGTGCCTCTTCTGTAAGCAGTTTCTATAACCGCCAGGCACTCTCATGGTGTCTGATGCCTGGCAGGAACTGGGAGCTGAAATTTAAAACACTTGGGGTACGTCTAGACTACATGCCTCTGTCACCAGAGGCATGTAGATTAGGCTACCCGACACAGTAAAATGAAGCGGCGATTTAAATAATCTCCGCTTCATTTAAATTTACATGGCTGCCGCGCTCCCAGGATGAAGTTTACCTGGGTGGTCGACAAATACCTTTGATGTCAGCAGGGGAGCGTCCAGACTATCGCGCTGAGCCGACAAACAGCTGATCGGCTGTTTGTCGGCTCAGCGTGATAGTCTGGACGCTCCCCTGCTGACATCAAAGGTATTTGTCGACCACCCAGGTAAACTTCATCCTGGGAGCGCGGCAGCCATGTAAATTTAAATGAAGCGGAGATTATTTAAATCGCCGCTTCATTTTACTGTGTCGGGTAGCCTAATCTACATGCCTCTGGTGACAGAGGCATGTAGTCTAGACGTACCCCAAGTGTTTTAAATTTCAGCTCCCAGTTCCTGCCAGGCATCAGACACCATGAGAGTGCCTGGCGGTTATAGAAACTGCTTACAGAAGAGGCACCCCTCCAAGCTGGTAGACCCAAGAATGCCCGAGTGGGGGTTGGAAGCAGATCAATCTCTAGCAATGAGGAATGCAGAAATAAGTAGATCATCTTTACTCCCCTTCTTTTCCTTTCTTTACTTTTACCAGAAGGGGGGAAATTGAGGTGGGGGGAGTTTCCCGCAAACAAGATTTTTTTTTAAAAGGCATTTCTTCTCCTTTTTTAAGGGAGTTTAAAAAAAGGTAACACTATTAGGGAGAACACAAGAAACAAAACAGCTACTAATTATGGTAATGATACATTTATGGAGGGGGTGGGAGAGAGGGAGGGTGCTGGTTTTGGGGAGGGCAACTGAAGATATAGGGGGGGGAGAGGAGTTAGCAGCCTCACCTCCCTGCTGAGACTGTAGCAGAGGAGGAGGGCGCTAATACAGGGTCGGGGGCACACAAGGGAAGGGGAGGGTGGGGGGGCGTATAATTGGGAGGGAAGGGGAGAAAGGGAAAAAGGGGGGGCAACTACTCCCTCCCGCCGACTGGTTGCTGGGAGGGAGAGAACCAAAAGGGGCGGATAGAGCAGGGGAACCGAGGGGCCAGCAACCACTCCTCCCCGCAAGGCTGGAGCGGAGGAGGAGGGTGCCGGCAGGGCAGACAGGGGGCAAGGTAACGGGTACAGGGCGGGGGCCGGCTCCTCCGGCTGCACTGGGATACGGGGGGGAGGGGGGGTTGTGGGGCCGTTGGGGAGGGGCAGGCCCCCTTCACCACTGCCACAGGCGATCCGCCTGCACCCCTCCTGAACAAGGAGCTCCCTGACTGGGTTTGTGGCCACGCCCTGAACTGAGGGTCTGGCCCCGGCTTTATAAACTGACTGTGGTTGTTGGTTGTCACGCCCTGAACTGAGGGCCTGGCCACTCTTTACAAACTGACTGTGTTTGTTTGCTGCCACGCCCTGAACTGAGGGCCTGGCGGCTCTCTCTACAAACCGAGTGTCTGTTGCCACGCCCTGAACTAAGGGCCTGGCCACCGGGTATAAACTGACTGTGTTGGGTTACTGCCACACCCAGCATCAAGGGCCTGACCACCCCTTATAAACGGACAGTGGTTTGTTACTGTCACACCCTGAACTAAGGGCTGGACTGCGCCCGGTGAACTAACGGGGCTGGCCTTAAAGGGGCAGCGCAGTGGGGAACCCCTCCGGACAGGCAAACCAACTACAGGTAGCCTAATCTACATGCCTCTGGCGACAGAGGCATGTAGTCTAGATGTACCCTTAGAGTGAAGGCACTTCCATCTCCTGGAGACGGCTGATGGATTATCCCCCGCGCCTTTAACTTCAACGAGGGTAGAGTTGTTAAAAATCCACAGCAGACTCCTCCTGCAAGCTGCAAGTCATTAGCAGCCAAAGGGGTTTCCCCAGAGCAGCCACCTTGTCACCAACAGAAAAGCCAACTCCGAGTGGCTGGCCTGCCAGTGGCGTGTTCCCAGAATTGCCACCTTGGCACTGAGTGATTAGCAGCCAGAGGGGTTTCCCCAGAGCTGCAACCTCGGCATGACTGCTTACCGCAGAACCAGCAGGAAGCTGTGAATCACGGTACCTAGAAGGGTCTCTTTCCCCCTCCCAGCTCTGTTGTGCAGTACAGACTGACCTAGAAAATCAGGGGCAGTGAGGCTCTCAGGCACTGTTAACACGGTCATAGAATCCTAGAATACTAGAACTGGAGGGGACCTCGAGAGATCATCAAGTCCAGTCCCCTGCCCTCTCGGCAGAACCAAGCACCATTTATATCATCCCTGACAGATGTCTGTCTAACCTGCTCTTAAATCTCTCCAATGATGGAGATTCCACAACTTCCTTAGGCAATGTATTCCAGTATTTAACATCCCCGAAAGTTAGGAAGTTTGTCCTAATATCCAACCTCAAACTCCCTTGCTGCAGTTTAAGCCCATTGCTTCTTGTCCTATCCTCAGAAGCCAAGGAGAACAATTTTTCTCCCTCTTCCTTGTAGCACCTTTTTAGATACTTGAAAACAGCTATCATGTCCCTTCTCAGCCTTCTCTTTTTTCTAAACTAAACGAGCCCAGTTGTTTCAGGCTTCCCTCACAGGTCATGTTTTCCAGCCCTTTAATCATTTTTGTTGCTCTTCTCTGGACTTTCTCCAATTTCTACACATCTTTCTTGAAATGTGGTGCCCAGAACTGGACACACTACGCCAATCGAGGCCTAATCAGCACAGAGTAGAGCGGAAAAATGACTTCTTGTGTCTTGTTCACAAACATTCCTGTTAATGCATCCCAGAATCATGTTTGCTTATTTGCAACAGCATCACACTGTTGACTCATATTTACCTTGCAGTCCACTCTGACCCCTAGATCCCTTTCTGCAGGACTCCTTCCTAGACAGTTGCTTTCCATTCTGTATGTGTGAAAAGGATTGTTCCTTCTTAAATGGAGCACTTTGCATTTTGTCCTTATTAAACTTCGTCCTATTTACCTCAGACCATTTCTCCAGTTTGTTCAGTTCATTTTGGATTATGACCCTATCCTCCAAAGCACTTGCAACCCCTCCCAGCTTGGTATCATCTGCAAACTTAATGGCTGTGTCTACACTGGCAAGTTATTCTGGAAAATCATCAGCTTTTCCAGAAAAACTTGCTTGCTGTCTACACTGGCCGCTTGAATTTCCGGAAAAGCACTGACAATCTCATGTAAAATCATCAGTGCTTTTCCGGAAAAACTATGCTGCTCCCGTTTGGGCAAAAGTCTTTTTCTGGAAAACTGTTCCGGAAAAGGGCCAGTGTAGACAGCACAGTAGTGTTTTCCACAAAAAAGCCCCGATCGCGAAAATGACGATCAGGGCTTTTTTGTGGAAAAGCGCGTCTAGATTGGCCACGGACGCTTTTCCGGAAAAAGTGCTTTTCCGGAAAAGCGTCCTGCCAATCTAGACGCGCTTTTCCGAAAACGCTTTTAACGGAAAACTTTTCCGTTAAAAGCATTTCCGGAAAATCATGCCAGTGTAGACTTAGCCAATAAGCGTACTCTCTATGCCAGTGTCTAAATCGTTGATGAAGATATTGAACAGAACCAGTCCCAGAACAGACCCCTGCGGAACTCCCATTTATTATGTCCTTGCTGTATGACTCTGAACCATTAGTAACTACTCTCTGAGTATGGTTATCCAGTCAGTTATGCACCCATCTTTACAGTAGCCCCATCTAGGTTGTATTTCTCTAGTTCACTGATAAGAAGGTCATGCAAGACCTTATCAAATGCTTTACTAAAGTCTAAGTATACCACATCCACCACTTCTCCTTTATGCACAAGACTTATCTTATCAAAGAAAGCTATCAGATTGGTTTGACATGAATTGTTCTTTACAAATTTATGCTGGCTCTTCCTTAAGTTTAACTTTGTCGTGTTTAACTCCTATGTATTGGCATTCTTGGGAATAACACTACTATTAATTAAAGCATACAGCTTTATAAGATGAGTTAATTGGGAAGCACACAAATGCTCCCTTGCGGTGGAGAATGTTCATTGCCCAAATCTAAGGAAGTATTTCCAACTTCTCCTGAGTTCCTTTCTCCTGAATTTCAGAATCCCAGAATATATGGAACTAACTTAACAAATTTCCATTTCAGGGCTCTTTGACAGCCCCCCAGGGTCAGATGATGCGAAGCTCATTGACATATTTTACCCTGGAGATCAGCAGTCTGTGACATTTGGAACCAAATCCTGTGTAGGGATGGGAGGAATGGAGCCCAAGGTAGGAGAAGTTTGGAGCCTGTGATGCTTTGTCCATCATAGGGAGAAGTCAGTGGTCTGCAATAATATGAGGCTCCGTATGCCTTTTTCTTGAGCCCTGTTGTTTTTGGCACATTTGAATAAAAATGTATTTTACTCTGTTCTCTTGCATCATATATTAAATTTGTCCAATTACATGTGCCCCAGTCTTTTGGGGGGGAGGGGAAGGGGGAGTGTGCATATTGCCTGCTCCTGAAGAAATAAATTGGGAGTTTTAGTTTGTTTATACATATTTATATTATAGTTCAGAGGGATTAAATACCTACCCACATCTTGCCCTTGCTGGGGGTGAGGACCACCTCCTAAGCCACCTTCCTGCCCCTGCACTGGAAATAAGTGTATTGCAGGATCCTTGGGGCAGGGACTTGTTTTTGCTTCTGAGTGCCATACACACATGACACTAAAATATCCATTATTATTAATGTATGAAAGTGATGGTTTTCATAAGACATCTGGACAAACTTAGAATGAATGTGGGAAGGGAGTCCACTGTTGTGGTTTATATTAATACTAGCTAGTTAATTGTTGGGGAAGATGACTTAAAATCTACCATAAATGTTGATTATTGGGAAAGAGGCAATGCTTCTACAGTATCACTGTCTAAAATGGTACAGTTCCATATGAAGGGCTGGCTAAATACGATGAAGTTCAGTGTCTCATGGCATGTAGAGAGGAGGGTTTCAACTTTAATGCAAACTTTGGGGAGAAATGAGAGCTTATACAAAAATGAATTAGATCTTTAACTAAAGTGAAGCTGTGTCCCCTTGCATAGAATTTAAATTAGTAGCATGGAGAAAGCTCGCAGGTGCAAAGAAGCACTCCAGGGCTGTGTCTACACTGGCATCCCTTCTGGAAAAGGGATGCTAATATAGCACTTTGGAATAGGCAAATCCGCGGGGGATTTAAATATCTTATTCCTTTCAAGTAGGAATAAGAGATCCTCCGGAAAAGACTTTATTTTCCGGAGAATCACGTCTAGACTGGCGCTTTTCTCCGGCTTATCTCCAAGCCGGAAAAAAGCGGCAGCCCTGTTAATGCAAATGCCCTGGGGGGTATTTAAATGATATTTAAATCCCCCGCGGATTTGCCTATTCCAAAGTGCTACCTTAGCATCCCTTTTCCGGAAAGGGGTGCCAATGTAGACACAGCCCTGGAGTACAAGAGCACCAGTTGAGGATATTTTATTTAAAAAGGAAAGTCTGAATCTCCTAGTACAGGATTGGACTTTATACCTAAAACGACTAGATGAATAGAGATCAGAGGTATATTCTGGGAAAGCTATATCGTGCCAGACAGATGGGTTAAATAAAAGTAGACGATCAAAACAACATTATACATGTTGGTATAGTAATGTGAAAAGCTTAAAAACAAAAATAAGCAAATTAGACAGGCTGGAAAGTGGAAAAGGAACTTGACATAGGCATATCTGAACTGTGGAATCCAAGTCAAAGGGGGCACTGTAATCCTGGCCTGTAAATTATTCAGGAAAGTGACAGAGGAAGAAAGCAACCCTGTCTCTGAAAGATTCCATAAAATCAGAGTTTCTTCAATGAGGATGACCATACATAGGGCTTGCCAAGCGGTGGTGAGCCCTGCTTGCCAGCCGTGCTGAAGCGCACGCTGCGCATGCACTGACCACGCTGCACAGCCCCATCAGGCTAAAATCTACTCGCCATGGGTGAGTAGATTGGCTAATTTGTCAAGCCCTGGCCATACATCACAATCTGTTGGGCTGCAAATACCAAGTAATAGTACAAACATACTGGTACCTTTATGCTACTTGTATTCTAATCAGGAAGAGAAAGAGGACAATCAGCGGCAACTGAGTATAAAAGAATAATAGGTGATTCAGATACCATAGGTCGGGGTGACCAACCCACGACTTGCGAGTCGCATGCTGCTCTTCTCCCCCAAAAGTGCAGCTCACTGGGGTGCAATTCAAAATGTCGCCCAAGTTGGTGGCTGTCAATGGGAGCCTGATATGGCCAAAAAGCCTACGCTTGTTTCTTAAAGGGGCAGCCTCCATTTTTTTTTTCCCCCTTGACCATTCTGGTGCGGCTCTTTGGATTTTTTGCCATAGGTGAACAGGTCAAATGTGACAGTGCACTGTGGATTGAGAATCAATTTTTTTGATAACTTAAATGATTGCTGTCTAGTAGGGATGTGAACAGGTAAACGAGTGGTTTCCGGCCATGTGCCAGCTCTCAGCCCAGTTTGGGTTCAGAAGCAGCTGGGCTGTTCCATCCTGGTCATGGCAGATGGTGACTTCCCTGCCTGCCCCATTTAATCAGTTAACTGGTTAAACTGAACGTTAAACTGGTTAACTAATTAAATGGGAATGTATATCCCGACTCTCTCGAGAACCTGAGGAGAGGCTATTCTTGGCTTAGTCCTAAGCAGAAGGCAGGAGCAGGTACAAGTAGAAATTATAATTGACCCATAATTTAACATTGACTTCTGTATGACTAAATTAATTACTTGAGAGGGATCATACAAAATCCAGCACAGTGACACTAACTTCAGAAAGGGAACTTAAAACAAAACACAAATTTAGGAACCACATCAGAATAGCCTTTAAAAAGTGAGGAAATTGGAAGTCTTCAGACTTAGCATTGGCACCTTCTTAAGCAGACCGTATATCAAACCGCATGCATCCCTCTGAGCAGAAAAGGGAGGAGGAGGGCAAGAAAAAAATGAAAACTTAGCACTAGTGGGACAAACAGCATGAACCTACAACAGGTGAAACACAGTATAAAAATCTAAGGGCCATAACACATTTTGAATAGCAATTACCAAAGGCATAGAAACAGCAGGAAATTTTGAAGCTGGAGGCCCATGAGAGAATTGTTGGATACACTGAACTACACTGGGGCCCAACCAAGAACCAGACCTCAGTTGTTCTAGGCAAACAGAGTAGTGGTCATTGTCCAAAAAAGCTTGCCATTCATGGCTGTAGAGATGAAATAAGCTTTCCAACTATAAGGTGCCAAGATGGTAAATATTCAAGACTCCTTAAGAAGTTCAAGAATGAAGTGGCTGAGCTGGTTCACAAATGTGTAATCTCTCTTTAAAATAACGTACTGGAAAATAGCAGGTTTTTTGCCTTTTCCATTAAAAATGCACAAGCAGCATTTCTGAGAATTAAATACAAATGATTCTCTTACCAGTACCAGGAAAACTAGTTGAAACTATCATATGAAAACATATTTATAAATTAGAAAACTTATAAAAATCTAGATCATGACATAATAGAGACAAGCCAGGATAGTTTTAGCCAATGAAAACTAAGCTCTTCAATCTACTAGAATACTTTAAGCATGGTAATAAGAGTGGATGCGGGAGAATACAATATGCCTATTTTTGTATTTTCAAAAAGCCTTTGACAAAATTTCTCACAGTCAACTGTTAAGGAAGCTTAAAATATAGCCATGAGTTAGAAACTAGCCAAAGAACAGAATACAAAGCAGGAATAAGTCTTGTTTCAAAATTAATTACTTAGATTGGAGTAGCTCTCATGTGTTTCCAAACATATTAAGTGAAGATGGTCCCTACTTACAATTTACAATCTAAAAGACCAAAGGCAAGTAAGATAGAGGTGATTACTAAGAACAGAGTTCGAGAGCCAGGAGAATGCTTATGAAGCATTGAGATTTTTCCTCAAGACTAGCTTTTATCCTCCCTTGTAGGTGAAGGCAGCTTTATGGGCCCTCCAAGGTGGCACCTCTGTAGTGATCGCAAATGGAACCCATCCAAAGATCTCCGGACACGTCATCACAGATATTGTGGAGGGGAAAAAAGTTGGCACTTTTTTTTCAGAGGTAAAACCTGCAGGTAAGTTAGTATTTGAAAATTTGAGATGGGAACTGGATGAAGGATAATAGTAAGGTAGGCGTCGTCTTCATGTGATTGTTCATGTGCATTCCAATATAGGTGTGTGCGCACAGCGTGCATGCATTGTTGGAAGATTGTCCCTCAGCAGTACCCTTAGGGCCAGCAGGGAGCCCCCTGCAGTGGTGCCAGTATATTAGTGCATATATACCCTTGCTGGCCCCTTCCCCACTCAGTTCCTTCTTACCACCGTGACAGTCGTTGGAACAGCCTTCTGCTCCCTTCAAGTTGTGTTTTTCACTTGCTAATTCCTTGTCTGGTTATCTCTGTGCTTCAGTTAAGTACCTGCAAACATACTTTAAAGACTCTCCTTTGTGCTCCTCCCTTTCACCCCGATGCAGTGCTCCACTCGCCTGCAGCAGGGCATGCCTGGCCATCAGGGCTTCAAACCCTGTAAGAAGTTTTATCGCTGATTAGTTGTAGCTAAATTAGTTCCCTTCATTGTATGTATAGTTGGGGTTATTTTTTCCAATGTGCATTATTTACATTTATCCACATTACATTTCATTTGCCATTTTGTTGCCCAATCACTTAGTTTGGTGAGATCTTTTTGAAGTTCTTCACAGTCTGCTTTGGTCTTAACTACCTTGAGCAGTTTAGTATCATCTGCAAACTTTGCCACCTCACTGTTTACCCCTTTCTATAGATCATTTATGAATAAGTTGAATAGGATTGGTCCTAGGACTGACCCTTGGGGAACACCGCTAGTTACTCCTCTCCATGTACCATTTAGTCCTACCCTTTGTTTCCTGTCTTTTAACCAGTTCTCAATCCATGGAAGGATCTTCCCTCTTATCCCATGACAACTTAATTTACGTAAGAGCCTTTGGTGAGGGACCTTGTCAAAGGCTTTCTGGAAATCTAAGTACCCTATATCTACTGGATCCCTCTTGTCCACATGTTTGCTGACCCCTTCAAAGAACTGTAATAAATAGTAAGATATGATTTCTTTACAGAAACCATGTTGACTTTTGCCCAGCAAATTACGTTCTTCTATGTGTCTGACAATTTTATTCTTTACTATTGTTTCTACTAATTTCCCCGGTACTGACGTTAGACTTACCAGTCTGTAATTGCCAGGATTGCTTCTAGAGCCCTTTTTAAATATTGGCGTTATGTTAACTATCTTCCAGTCATTGGGTACAGAAGCTGATTTAAAGGATAGGTTACAAACCATAGTTAATAGTTCCGCAGTTTCCCATTTGAGCTCTTTCAGAACTCTTGGGTGAATGCCATTCGGTCCTGGTGACTTATTACTGTTAAGTTTATCAATTAATTCCAAAACTTCCTCTAATGACGCTTCAAAGTGAAACAAGACCTAAGATTTGTCACCTACAAAGGAAGGGTCAGGTTTGGGAATATCCCTAAAATCCTCAGCCATGAAGACTGAAGCAAAGAATTCATTTAGTTTCTCTATCATCTTTAAGTGCTCCTTTTATATCTCGATTGTCCAGGGGCCCCACTGGCTCTTTAGCAGGCTTCTTACTTCTGATGTACTTAAAAAACATTTTGTTATTATCTTTTCAGTTTTTGGCTAGCTGTTCTTCAAACTCCTCTTTGGCTTTTCTTATTACATTTTTACACTTCAGTTGGCAGTTGTAATGGAGGTGGCTAGCCCACCCTCCGTTTCTCTGTTTCTCCACCGCTCCCCTTTGTTCATTGTGGCACTCTCGATTTCCTCGCCAAATGGGGAATAGGGGGGTCCGGGCCCACCCTCTCTCCCGGACCCCAGCCCAGGGCCCTAAGGATAGGATCACTGGGTCCTGTCCTGCTGGTGGGGCGCTTGCCCAAAACTCACCAGCACGCAAGCTCCTTGCCCTGCCCTGGGCTGCTTCCTATTTCCCTCTCCCCGTTCAGACCCTCCGTCTCCCCCGTGACTCCCCTACCAGTCTCGGTCCCAGCCGCGTGAGTCCATCTTCTCTCCTCCCTAGTCTGTTTCCTCTACCTCCTCCACTCCGGCATCCTCCGCCTACCTCCTCCCGCACTCCTGGCCCAGCTAGATTTAAATGTCCGCGCCGGCATTCCGACGTGGTGACGTCAGCCGCCGCGCACGTTAGCTCGGCCTCTTCCCTCGTCCCCCAGCTCCCTGCCGGCAGCAGACCTTTCGCGCCGTCCCGAGGAGTGTTAGGGTGACCGCGGGTTCAATGCGGGGTGGGTCCGCGTCCGCGGGGTGGAGGCAGCCCACCCCGTCACAGCAGTGTTTATGCTTCTTTCTATTTTCCTCACTAGGATTTGACTTCTACTTTTTAAAAGATGCCTTTTTATCTGTCACTGCTTCTTTTGCATGGTTGTTAAGCCGCGATGGCTCTATTTTAGTTCTTTTACTGTGTGTGTTAATTTGGGCTATACATTTAAGTTGGGCATCTATTATGGTGCCTTTGAAAAGTGTCCATGCAGCTTACAAGGATTTTACTTTAGTCACTGTACCTTTTAATTTCTGTTTGACTAATCTCCTCATTTTTGTATAGTTTCTCTTTCTGAAATTAAATGCCATAGGTTGGGCTGCTGAGGTGTTCTTCCCACCACAGGAATGTTAAATGTTGTTATATTATGGTCACTATTTCCCAGCAGTCCTGTTATAGTTACCTCTTGGACCAGATCCTGTGTGCCACTCAGGACTAAATCGAGAATCACCTCTCCCCTTGTGGGTTCCTGTACCAGCTGCTCCAAGAAGCAGTCATTTAAGGTACAATATTGAGAAATTTTGTCTCTGCATTTCATCCTGAGGCGATATGTGCCCGGTCAATATGGGGATAATTGAAATCCCCTACTGTTATTGAGTTTTTTTTATTTTGATAGCCTCTCTAATCTCCCTTAGCATTTAATAATCACTATTGTTGTCCTGGTCAGGTGGTCGATAATAGATCCCTACTGTTGCATTCTTATTAGTGCATGGAATTATTATCCATAGAGATTCTGTGGAACATGTTGATTCATTTAAGATTTTTACTTCATTTGATTCTATATTTTCTTTCACATATAGTGCCACTCTACCCCCCGCATGACCTGTTCTGTCCTTCCGATATATTTTGTACCCCGGTATGAATGTGTCCCATTGATTGTCCTCACTGCACCAGGTTTATGTGATGTTTATTATATCAATATCCTCCTTTAACACGAGGTACTCTAGTTCACCCATCTTATTTAGACTTCTAGCATTTGTGTACAAGCACTTTAAAACCTTGTCACTGTTTATTTGTCTGCCCTTTTCTGAAGCGTCAGATTCTTTCTGTGAATGTTTCTCGTCTGATCTGGCCCATACTTTATCCTATTCCACCCTCTTCTCCTGACTAAAACGTAGAGAATCTCTATCAATAGACTCTCCTCTAAGAGATGTCTCTGTCCGATCCATTTGCTCCTCTGCTTTCCCTCCTCCCTTAACATTAAAAAGGTCGCAGAGCAGTTTTTAAACTAAGTGCCAGCAGTCTGGATCCACTTCGGTTTAGGTGGAGTCCATCCTTCCTGTGTAGGCTCCCCATCCCAAAAGTTTCCCCAGTTCCTTATAAATCGAAACCCTTCCTCTCTACACCATCATCTCATCCATGCATTGAGACTCTAAAGCTCTGCCTGTCTACCTGGCCCTGTACATGGAACTGGAAGCATTTCTGAGAGAGCCACCATAGAGGTCCTGGATTTCAGTCTCTTTCCTAGCAGCCTAAATTTGGCCTCCAGAATGTTTCTCCTATCCTTCCCTATGTCATTGGTACCTACATATACCACAACCACCGGCTTCTCCCTAGCACAGCACATAAGTCTATCTAGATGCCTCGAGAAATCTGAAACCTTCACACCAGGCAGGCAAATCACCATATTATTCTCCCAGTCATCGCAAACCCAGCTTTCTAGGTTTCTAATGATCAAATCCCCCATTACTAACACCTGCCTTTTCCTAATGACTGGTGTTTCCTTCCCTGGAGAGGTAACCTCAGTGCGAGAGGATACCCTAACATCATCTGGAAGGAGAGTCCAACTATGGGAAGGTTTTCCTCTGCTCTTGTTGACTGTTCTCCTTCCCTAGCCTTTCATCCTCCTTAACAGTGCAGGGGCTGGCTGACTGGAGGTCAGACAATTCTACAGTGTCCCAGAAAGCCTCGTCAACATACCTCTCTGCCTCACTTAGCTCCTGCAGTTCAGCCACCCTGGCCTCCAAAGCCCGTACACAGTGTCTGAGGGCGAGGAGCTCCTTGCACTGAATGCACACGTACGCCAGCCGCCCACAGGGCAGATAATCATACGTGCTACACTGAGTGCAATAAACAGGATAGCCCCCACTCTGGTGGTGGGCTTCTGCCTGCATTGTCTCCTACAGCTACCTAGGTTATTGATAGGGTTTTTATTTAAATCAGGAAGTTTTGATTATAGTTTAGTTTAAAGATTTTGAACAATGGTGAGTGTGCCTCATCTCCTTCCCACTACCCTTCTAAATTCCCTCTTGAAACTCCCTGTTTTCAAAGTTCCCTGGCCGCAAAGCTCCCTGATGACTGACTCACTGCTTTATAAAGCCCTGTTCTTCCCGATAGCCCTGCCCTCTGATTAAGGCTCAGTCAGTGAACAGAGGCTTCTGGATTTCAAACCTTGTTTAGAAGCTCACAGCTTGCAACTGCTGGGCACAGCATACACTCCTTCAACCAAACAGACAAACATCAGCAATACAGTTAGGCAGAGCCACATTCCATTGCCTGGTACAGGCTTGCCAAACACAGGAAAAAAATAATTCTAGCACATATTTATTACCTTTTTTACACATTCGAGTCATACACCGCACAATGAATGAGACTAGCTTGTTGCCAGTGTGTGTAGAATACTTCACACAACACCTTGTGGTACAGATTTAGACTACAGGGAGTTTGGGGGTTCACTGACTATGTCAAGCCTTACTAAAGTTGCTGACACAGAGAAGTGAACACCTGTGGGCTTCTGAGACACAATGGCACTCATCAACA